CAGTAGCTTTAAAAAAAAAAAAACCAAACCAATTACGAATAAATGATGCCTTTTGCCAAATGCTTTTTCTCCATGTGTGGAAATGATCATAACTTTTCTTATTTAATGTGGCGCGTCATTGTTTTTTGGATAATTAAATTAGCCAGGAGATGAGCCTTGTTTGTCAGGATGTATTGTCCTGTTCATATATTTCCTCATCTTTTTCTTTCATTTTTGTTTGAGGGCCGTAACCTGCGGTGCTCAGGGCTTCCTCCTGGCTCTGTCTTCAGAGACCACTCCTGGGAGGTTCCGGGTAGGGACCATGTATGGGGTGGCAGGGATCGAACCCAGGTAGGCCACGCGCGAGGCAAGTGCCTACCCATTCTCTCTAGCCCCTCTTCTGCATTTGCATGGTTCCTGATACAACCTAATGAAAAGATAAAAATAGCTGGTGAGGATGCTGAAGGCTGGGATGCACAGCATGGCAAATGGGCACTGGATCGGGGCCAGCCGCTCTGCGAAAATTCAGCAACCCTGTCCACAAGAGTTTCCAGTAACACTTTCTTGGTAGTCCTGAAGCAGAAACAACCCGGATGGCAGTGGATGGCTAAACCAAAGGTGTTCTGTCCTGCCAAGGCCCCTCCTTCAGCAGTCACGCGGCATCAACCTGTGCCCATTCGACATCACCGTGGACCACAGAAACATTCTAAGGGAAAGTTGCTGTCTCCTGGTGTGAATCCCTTCGCAGGGAACAGATAGACTCTTGGTCAGGAAGCACAGCTGTAGGGGCCACCTTTGCCTGTCGTCTCTCTCCCATGCTTGGGCATGTTCTTATGGCCAGGAGGCAGTGGCTGGGTTTTGAACCCTGGCCCCGCTGTGGTTGGGGAGATAGGGTAGGTGGCCGCGTGTAAGCCTTGCCTGGTTGATCCCTGGCCCCACTGGCTCTCGCCCATGCGAAACACATAGCGTGTGGTATATAAGTACTGCACTGTAGCACTGTCCTCCCATTGTTCATCCATTTGCTCGAACAGGCACCAGTAACGTCTCCATCGTGAGACTTTGTTGTTACTGTGTCTGGCATCGAATATGTCACGGGGAGCTTGCCAGGCTCTTCCGTGCGGGCGAGATACTCTCAGTAGCTTGCTGGGCTCTCCGAGAGGGGTGGAGGAATCGAACTTGGGTCGGCCCTGTTGGCTGCATGCAAGGCAAATGCCCTACCACTGTGCTATCGCTCCAGCCCTGTCCAGAGGCTGCAGGTGCCTCTGTCTGCCCGCTGGGCTGCAAGTGTTCCCTGTGTGTGCCCTGTGGGTCTGTGTAACATGATGCACTTTGTAGGATGCACCTTTGTGGGCACTGATTGAACAGTGGGAGAGAATACCAAAAACAGTATTCGATATGCCACAGTCTTCTCTGTGGCTGTTTGTTTTGTGTTTCATGTCTTGGGGTCACACCAGGTGGTGCTCAGGGCTTACTCCCGGCTCTGCCATCATGGGATCAACATAGACCTGTTTGCTTGGGCCTTGAGATTGGTCAGGAACCCAGAAGACCACAGAACTTCCTCCCCACTGCCCCTTAGGAGTATGATCTCTGTCGTCCTTCCTGGAAATTCAGTTCGGCTCTTGCTTCTCCTGCCCGTGGAGACCCATTTCCCCTACACTGAGATCAGGGTCTTGTACTCGGGTACCCGAGCCACGGGAACTGCCTCAGCCAGCACCAAGAAGCAGTGCCAACACTCTCCCAGCAAATCCAAAGATGCCAAATGCCTCAAGAAGCCCGATTGTTTGATGAACCAGTTAGAAAGGAAGAAGTACTGTCAGTGTGCTACCCACAGAGACTTCTCACAAATTCTCCCTGCAGAGACACGGAAACATGACCACTTTAGAACTCCTGAAGCCAGGCAGTATTTCTCAAGTTCTTGGGAGTGGGGGCGGGGCATGTGAGCTCTTTTGAGGAATGAAGTTAGAGCGTGAGTGAGCAAGTGAGACATGGAGAGGTCTCACGCGCATCTAAGGCTTTCTTAAAGCGCATGGCATTCCAGCGAATTGTGGGCTGCCACTGAGTTCAGGTTTCAGGCCACCAACTCACAAAACAGGACCAGGCTAGAGCCATATACAGAGGCCTTGCAAGCAGCTGACCAGGGTTCGATCCGCTGCATCCTATATGGTCCCCTGAGAGCACCGCCAGGAGTAAATCCTGAATGCAGAGCCTAAGAGTAAAACCCCTGAGCACTGCCAGGTGTGGCCCCAAAACCAAAGAAATAAATTAGCACTGTAGCACTGTCGTCCCATTGTTCGTAGATTTGCTCGAGTGGGCACTGGTAACGTCTCCATTGTGAGACTTGTTGTTACTGTGTTTGGCATAGCGAATATGTCACGGGGAGCTTGCCAGGCTTTGCCATGCAGGCTATCTGAGGGGCGGAGGAATCGAACCTGGGTCAGCTGCGTGCAAGGCAAATGCCCTACCTGCTATGTTATCGCTCTGGCCCAACGAAATAAATTAAAAGAACAAAAAACAAACAACAGTGCTACCGTTAACTGCTTGACTTAACATATTCTATCAGGAATCTCTAAGAAAAATTCAGCCTGAGAAGTAATTATGATAAGTTTTCCCTGACCCATAAAGCCCTCATTATATGTAACCATCTGTGCCATTTAGATTTTCTGCAGGGTCACTTCCCAGAGACTCATCACTCCTCAGAGCACTGCTGGGAGTGGTTCTTGAGCACCACAGTGGGAATAGCCTCGGAGCACCACCACAGGGCCCCCCCGCAGCAGCAGAAAAGATATGAGAGATGAGAGTCCATTATTGCTCCATTATTCTTGCAGAATTCTGACTAGTGCTGTACTGTCAGCCACAAGAAGACCCCTGATTTAATCCTTGAGATTCTGTTACCTGCACTGCGATACAGATTCTTCTGCTTCGCAGTGAAGTGTGTGTGTGTGTGTGTGTGTGTGAGTGTACCTGTGTGTATGTGTATATGTGTGTTTGAGTGTGCAAGTTGTAAGAGTAGGTAAGTGTATATGTGTGTGTGTGTGTATGAAAGTATATGCGTGTCAGTGTGGGTATATGTGTGAATGTAAGAGTGAGTGTATATGTGAGTGTGAGAGTATGTGTGTGAGAGTGTGGCTGTGTGTATATGGGAGAGCATATATATGTTGTGTGAGTGTGTATATGTGAGAGTGTATATATGTTGTGTATGTGTATATGTAAGGACATACATGCATTGTGTGTGTATGTGTGAGAGTGCACGCATGTTGTGTGAGTGTGTGAGGGTATGTGTATATCAGTGAGAATGTATGTGTGTTGTGTGAGAGCATATGTATTGTGTGTGTATCTGAGTGTGTATGTACGTATATGTGAGAGCGTATGTGTGTTGTGTGAGTACATGAGTGAGGAGTAACCCCTGAGCATTGTGAGTCTATGTGAATGTATATATATGTGAGTACATGTGTGTTTTGTGTGTATGTGGATGTGTGGATGTGCGTATATGTGAGAGCGTATATGTGTTGAGCATGTGAGTATGTATGTGAGCATGTGTTCTGTGTGTATATGTAAGAGCATATGTATTCTGTGTATGTATACACGTGTATACTGAACGCATATTTGAGTATATGAGAGCATATGTGTGTTGGTGTGGGTGTGTATGTGTGTCTATGTAAGTATGAGTGTGTGTATATGTGAGAGCTTATGTGGTCTGTGTAGCACTGCACAGTAGCACTGTCCTCCCGTTGTTCATCGATTTGCTCGAGTGGGCCCAGTAATGTCTCCATCGTGAGACTTGTTGTTACTGTGTTTGGCATATCGAATACATCCCGGTGAGCTTGCCACGCTTTGCAGTGCGGATGAAATACTCTTGGTAGCTTGCCAGGCTCTCCGAGAGGGACGGAGGAATCGAACCTGGCTCAGCCGGGCTGGCCACGCACAAGGCAAACGCCCTATGACTGTGCTGTCGCTCCAGATAGCACAGTGTATGTATGTGTATAGTGAAAGCATGTGTATGTTGTGTAAATATATGAGAGCATATGTGTTAGTGTGGGTATATGTGTGTGTGTCTGTGAGTATGAGTGTATGTGAGTGTGTGTATCTGAGAGCATATGCGTGTTGTGTGAGTGTGTGTGTGTGTGTGTGTGTGTGTGTGCGCGTGTGCATGTGAACACACCCACATGGACAGCAGTAGATCCCGGGCCCCTCTCTTTTAGGGGACCCACTCTGCTGGGTACTTGCTCTGTGTTCGGCTGTGGAATGGGCCAGAGGAGGCAGCGCTGGTCTGGGTGGGCCCGAGCCGACATCTCCAGCTCGGTGTGTATGTCTCGCCTCCCACAGGGGAGGGCTGCATGCGGGGCTGGCAGAGCAAGTGACGTCTCAGATGAGGCCAGTTCCTCTCCATCAAAGCCGTCTCTGAGCAGGGGGCAGTTCCTCAAACTGCCATGAGATGCCATCGATGGCGACTACCATCCCTTCCCCCCTTTCGGCACCAGACACTGGATTCTTCACTGGGAGCTGGTTCTAGCCCTAGTTGTGACTGCGCCCTCTTCTCCGTGAACGGGGCGGGGGGGGGGGGCGGGCGTGGGTTAAGGGTCTCCCTTTCCTGGCCTGGCGCGTCTGTCACTCACCCCCACCCATTTCTTCCCAGCACACCTATGTAGCCGTAGGGTTGCCCTCGCCGCCTTGAGATGACTCTCGGAGAGCAGCTGGCCTCCTTCACCTCGCCATCGGGCAGTTGGGCCTGTGCGTGGGTGTGGGTGGGAGAGAGGAAGCCGAGGGGATCTGCTGGTCTGCTTTTGGGGTGGTCATGAAAGATGTGTCCCCGGCCCTGGGGAGGGCCAGGAATCTCCCCCGACCTGCCTCATCACCCCTGTTCTGCAGAATTTCCCTTGGACTTTCTTCGCTTGCCTCTGGGGGGGTCGTCTCCCACATGAGGACTCAGGCTTTCGACCAGACGGCGGCTTGGATGATCGTAGGTGAGCGCTGGAGACTTGGGGGTGCCCCTAACTTGATTCTCTGTTGTCTTCCGGAAACAGATCCCCAGCTTGTGGAACCACCAAAGAGCACGGCCACATCTGCAGCCCCGGGTCAGGAAGTGACGGCAGCGCCCACGGCGGCCAGCACTGTTGCGGTGACCACGGCTGTTCCCAGCCCTGGCACTCAGACGGACAAGGATGCCCCGGGCGCTGAGCCCGATGGCACTGTGCAGCGCAGTCCCGATCCAGGTGCCTCTGTGGCCCCAACCACAGTCAAAGGGAGCTCGGTGCCCGCCCCCGCCCCCAGCGACAGCACGTCCGTGGGAGCCCTAGTGGACACGGAGGCCACTGCAACCTCCGCCCAGCCCAGCCTGGTCGGGCTGCCCACGGTCAAAGCCACGGCCACCACCAGCAGCTCCCCCGTTGTCTCTGATGCCGGTCCCCAGGGCCCAGACCCGGCTGTGCAGGCGTCCAGCCCGGTCCCCACTAAGCCGGCCCCCACCAGCGTCCAGGACGGGGCCCAGAGCTCAGCCACAGTCACTGCCCCGGAAGCGGGAGAGACAGAGACGTCGCCCCCCGCAGGAGTGAGCCACCCAGCCAGCACGGCCTCTGCGCCGCCCGCCTCCCCCAGCCCGGCTGCTGCCACGGACTCTGGGCCTCCTGGCAGCGTGCCCGAGGCTGGGGACCAGAGGACTGTGACGCCCAGTGGCCCCAGCCCTGCGGTGGGCTCCACCTCTGTGCCTGCAGGGTCGCCTTCTGCTGCAAGTGAGTAGCCTTTGGGGGTTGGTGGTGGGAAGCAGCTTCCTCATGCTCCCATAATGCCCGCCAAGGTGCCCCACCCACTCTCATGCTGGGTCCCCGTGGCAATGGCTGCCAGAGACCCGCTCCCCCCCTTTCCCTTTCCCCTAGGCTGTGTGATCTGGGAGAGACCAGCTCCCTGTGTGGTGCTCAAGGACACACCCAGGGCTCTGGGACGCCAGGGGTTGGGGGCACGAGGACCCCCTTGAGGTTCTTTCCCGTCCTTGTTTTGTGGCCGTCCGCAATGTGCTGTGCTTTAGTGGACCCTGTGATTCCCGGCTTGACACACACCAGCTCACGCACACGTCATAGCAAAGTGTTTTTGGTTTCTTAGGCTTTTTTTTTTTTTTTTTTTTGGCTTTTTGGGTCACCCCCAGTGATACTCAGGGGTTACTAACTTCTGGCTCTGCACTCAGGAACTACTCCTGGTGGTGCTTGGGGGGGCCATATGGGATGCCAGGGATTGAACTCGGGTTGGCCATGTGCAAGACAAACGCCCTCCCCGCTGTACTATATCACTCCAACCCCTTTTTGGTTTTTTTCTGGGTTTTTGGGTTTTTTTTTTTTTTTTTTTTTTTTTTTGCTTTTTGGGTCACACCCAGCGATGCTCAGGGGTTACTTACTCCTGCTCTACACTCAGGAATTACTCCTGGTGGTGCTCGGGGAACCATATGGGATCCTTGGGATTGAACTTGGGTCGGCCATGTGCCAAGGCAAATACCCTACCTGCCGTACTATCTCCCTGGCCCTGGTTTCTTTGTTTTGGGGCCACAGGGGTTACTCCTGGCTCTGTGCTCAGAGATCACTCCTGGTGGGCTTGGGGGACCATATGGGATCCCAGGGATCAAACCTGGATCGGCCGCGTACAAGGCAAGGGCCCTACTTGCTGTACTATCACCACAGCCTCCACCCTACCGCCATTGGCTCTGCTTAAAAAATTTAGTCCTATTGTCACTTCTGGGCATGCTGGAGGCCACAGCCCTCTGTGCTTCTGGGGAGAAGGGGCCTGTGAGGCCAGGGTTGGGCCCAGGGCCTTGCCGATGCAGGGCATACGTACCCTACCTCAGCCCGTTCATTTTTTTTAAAGGGAGATTAATTTTATTTTATTATTTCTTTTTTTTTTCTTTTTGGGTCACACCCGGCGATGCTCAGGGGTTACTCCTGGTTCATGCACTCAGGAATTACTCCTGGCGGTGCTCGGGGAACCATATGGGATGCTGGGAATCGAACCTGGGTCGGCCATGTTGGCTGCATGCAAGGCAAACGCCCTACCCGCTGTGCTATTGCTCCAGCCCCAGCCTGTTCATTTTCATGGTGCTGAGGACCCAGTCCAGTTCTTGTGTGGTTTGGGGCCACACCCGGGGAGTGCTCAAGGCTGACTCCTGGCTCTCCTCTCAGGGATCAGTCCTGCTGGAATGCAGGGGACCATCTGGGGGTGAGGAGGTGGGAACTGAACTCAGGTTGGCCACGTGCAAGACCAAGGCCATACCCCTAGATTCCACTTTTTTTTTTTTTTAACTTTTTTGCAGTTCTTCACCCATTATGTTCATTTAAAAAGTCACGGATGGCACAGGAGCCTTAAGGCCGGGGCTCGTGTCATACTGGCACGTGCTAGGGCTCAGAGTCAGCACACTGCCAGGGGATGTGGTGGGCTGGGGGCTCGGTTTGGGGAGCACCTGCCTCCCAGTTCCCTTGTGCTTCTCTAAAACTGGGGCGATTCTTGCGGTGCCTTTCCGTGAGTTGTGGGGCAGAACGTGTGAGCTGGTGCTTCAGTTCCCCTAGTTTGTTGTCGAGATGGGGTGAGCTCAACCCCCTCCCCATAGCAAAGACCTCGGGCCAGGAAGGATGATGGTGTTTCTCCGGGATGCTGAGGCTCTGCCCTGGGTTTTCCTTCCCAGGTACGGTGTCATCGGATGTGGTCCCGGGACATGGGCCAGATGCCAGCCGGCAGCCTAACATCACTGAGACCCCAGCATTGTCCTCAGGGAGCCCCTCCCTGGACACTGTGAGACCCACGGACACGTCCGCCAGTCCGGAGGCTATGCCCTCCACGACGGCGCCTGCAGATTCCAGCGCTCCCGTCACATCAGCCACCCCCCACGAAATCCACCCCTCTCCCACCTCAACTTCGGGGAGCCGCAGGGTAATTCCAGGAGGGACAGCACCCAGTCTGGGATGAAGGGTTCTGGGGTGGGGCTGCCGGGGGCCCTCCGCCCTTCACCCCTACTGGATTCAGGCGTGTCCAGCATCTGCCCCCAGCCCGCCCCTGGTCTTACTCTTCTCCGAATGCCCTCTGTACAAGGTGGAGGGGGGATGGCTCGGGTACGAGCTGGCAGCCTCATCCTCAACCTCTATCCCCAGGATTTCTTCGAGATACACTGTGACCCGCCGGAAAGGTTCTCAGAGAAGATGCTGGTCCTGAACTTCACCAAAACGGGACTGTGTGTGAGTACTGCTCAGTTAGACCTTCCATAGGCGTCACACCCCAGGTGGCGGGGGCAGTGGGGTTAGGGGGAGGGCTGGAAGTACCTTTCCCTACCTCACCGAGGCATGGCTGGTGCAGATGCTCGCAGCCAAGTGCTTGCCATAGGACTCCCATTGCAGTGCTCACAGAGGCCTGAGACCCTTGCTTAACTTGGGGCACTGGGGTCCAGCTGCCTCTGGTGCAGGATGGGACTCTATGAGATCAACAGGACTGGATTGGAAATGAGAGACTTTGTGTGCTTAGTTTTACCCATTCTAATAGTGGTAGCACTGTAGCAATGTCCTCCCGTTGTTCATCGATTTGCTCGAGTGGGCCCAGTAACGTCTCCATTGTGAGACTTTTTGTTACTGTGTTTGGCATATTCAACACGTCACGGGTAGCTTGCTAGGCTTTGCCGTGTGGGCGAGATACTCTCAGCTTGCCGGGCTTTCCAAGAGGGGCAGAGGAATCGAACCCGGCTTGGCCAGGCCAACCGCACGCAAGGCAAACGCCCTACTGCTGTGCTATCGCTCCAGCCCCTAATAGTGGTAATAGTGGCTTTTGTTATTAATTTTTTTAAAAGTAAAAACAGATTTTATTTGGAGGTTTCTTCAGAAAGGAGAGAGAGAGACAGAGACAGACAGACAGGCAGAGAGAAAGACAGACAGACAGACAGACAGACAGACAGACACAGGCTTCTCCAAAGGCAGAGAGCTCCTCCACACATCCCAGCATCCAATATGCAGCGACACATCTCAAGAGGGAAGATTGGGGGGGGGGGGGGGCTGGAGCGATAGCACAGCAGGTAGGGCGTTTGCCTTAACACACGGCCGACCCAGGTAGGATTCCCAGCATCCCATATGGCACCCTGAGCACCGCCAGGGGTAATTCCTGAGTGCAGAGCCAGGAGTAACCCCTGAGCATCGCTGGGTGTGAGCCAAAAAGTAAAAAAAAAATTTTTTTTTAATTTAAAAAAAAATAGAGGGGAGATGCGGGCGTCACATGTGCTCGGGCAGCATATGTGCCTCTAACAGTGGGGAAGTTTTCCTGGTCTGATGCCTCCTGGTTTTCTGACACCCCCACTCTTAAGCTACGGAGTCAGTGTAAGCCTGAGCATCGGGGACCACTGCCGGCAGCTGTGCCTCTGCCTGGGTGCTGGGCGCCTGTGAGTGCAGCTGCGTGTGCCTACTCCTAGAAGGATGCAGGGCTGGGGTCCAGCAGCTGGGGGCTGTGTGCCCCGGGTGCTGCATGGCTCTCTGCTGCCCTCTGCTGGTGTGTGTCTGCTTCTATTCTGGGACCTCCAGCAGCCGGCAAGGGGGGGGGGGGGGGGCGTGCTAACCCGTTTCTCGCCGCCTGCATTTTCTGCTGCTGTTTTCTTTCGGGAGTCTGTTTTGCTGGGGTTTTCCCCGCAGACCTTTGCCAGAGCACACGCTGAGACCAAAGTCCATGCTGTTTGTGGTGCCAGGGGCATGTGCCCCTGGCAGAGTGTCACAAGGGGCAGGGGTCACTCTGGTGTTCATCCCGCCTCTCTGCAGGCTCCTACTAAGGACGCAGACTTGTCCGGTGCGGGCTGGAGGGATAGCGGGGAGGGCTCTGGCTTTGCACAGGGCCAGCTGGCACTGCCAGGAGTGATCCCTGAGTTCCAGAGCCAGGAGTAAGCCCTGAGCACTGCCAGGTGCGGCTCCAAAACAAGAACGAAGAAACCCCAAAACAGGCCAGAGCAATAGCACAGCGGGTAGGGCGTTTGCTTTGCATGTGGCCAGCCTGGGTTCAATCCCCAGCATCCCATATGGTCCTCTGAGCACTGCCAGTAGTAATTCCTGAGTGCAGAGCCAGGAGTAACCCCTGAGCATTCTCTGGGTGTGACCCAAAAAGCCAAAAAAAAAAAAAAAACCCAAACAACAACAACAACCCAAAATAACGCAATAAAACCTTGTCAAGTGCATGACTGGTGTGAGAAGCCCTTTCCCCCTTCGCTATTAAAAAGGAAGGTGGAACCATTTTCCCTGCCCGGCACCAGGCGGGAATGAGAGCCCTGAGGGACCGCGTGTATGCGTGTTCATGTGTGTGCACGCGTGTCTGCAGTTAGCCAGAACAGTCCTGAATCCCAAATGGAGTCACACTCAGGGGTCTGAGTCGTCTCTGCCATCCACCCTGGCCTCCTCACCCTCAGCTGTGTTGTCCACGCCCTCTCCATTGGGAAGTGCTGGTGGTCCCCCTGGGGGTGGTGTCTCCTCAGAGTCGCCCACCCACCCTGTTGCTCTTCCCCTTAGGGATGGAGGACCAGGGCTGCTGTGGGGTGGGGATCGAACCCAGGGCCTTATCAGTTCCAGGTGCCTGCACTGCGCCCCGTGGCTGATGGTCACAGCAGCTGGGACACTTGGAGCTCTGTCATGGCTATGTCGTGGGCTGTCCTGTGTGCTGGGTCTCCCCTCTGTCCTGCTGTGACCTGGGCCTTGAGGAGCCCCAGGGCGAGATGCCTTGCTGGGGGGTGGGCAGGAGGCAGCCGGGAGAGCAGAGTCACAGAGAACTGGGGACCAGTCTCACGACCTGCCACCACCCACCATGGTCCCTGAAGAATCACCCCGGGGTCTCGCCTCTGCAGTCCGGGAGCCCTCCTGATGACAAGCTGGCGACGCTTCTGTGCCAAGCGGCCAAAGCCACCTTCAACCCGGCGCACGACCAGTGCCACATCTGGCTGGCCCCCGTTCCGGAAATCCAGGCGTTGGCCGTCAAAGAGATCACCATTCAGAGTGAGTGTGTGGTTGGGATTGGCCCTGGGGGCCCTGCGGCCCACTGAGCTGAGCGAGACCCCTGAGCTGTCTCTCTTTTCCCCGCAGCCAACCTCCTTCCCCAGGACGTGTACGAGTCGCTGAGAGACAAATGGGATGCCCTGAAGGAGGTAGATGGGGGGGTTGGGGACGCCCCCTCCCTCCCAGCCTGGGAGGCAGCAGTGGAGCATGCTGGGGAATGCCTGGGGGCTCCGTTCTCACCTGTGCTCTCTGTCCTGGACCGCCAGGTGGGGGTCAGCAACATGCAGCTGGGGGAGCTGGGCCCCCCCGAGGAGGCGGAGGACCGGTTCAGCATGCCTCTCATCATCACCATCATCTGCATGGCCTCCTTCCTGCTCCTCGTGGCCGCGCTCTACGGCTGCTGCCACCAGCGCCTCTCACAGAGGAAGGACCAGGTGAGCCCCCTGGGTCCCCCTGGCTGGCCACACGGGCCTCATGTGAGGGGAAAGCGAGCTCCCCACCATCCTAGCCTTTCTGGTAGCCAGCTGGGAGGCGGTCCGGGAGCTTCTGGAAATTTCGGGGAGGGATGCCCTAGCACTCGCTCTGTCCTGTGCTCTGTCGTGCTGAGGGTCACACTGGGGACTGGTCCAGGTGGATGGTCCCTCCCCTGTGGAAATGCTCAGAGGGGTCCCGTAGACCGCCCTGGCCTGCCAACCTCGGCACCAGCTCACCCACCTGTTCTTGCTAGGATCTCCACATCCGGCTTGTTCCCACAGCAGCTGCGGCAGAGTCTTGGGCCCCTGCCCAGGGGGTCCCTGGAGTCCCTTGGGTGTGAAGTCTGGGCAGTTGAGAGGATTTTCTTCTCCCCGTGGCTTCTGCTGTGGATGCAGCCAGCCGCGTGGCTGTCAGCTGGTTGGATCCCGGGGTGCAGCCTGAGTCATGCTCCCATTCCCCCCTGGGGGCCTGGGGGAGCCCACCCCCGCCCCAACCCCAACGTGGTTTAGGGGCTGATTGTATTTATGAAAAGCTCCTCACGGGATCCTGGAGCACGTCCCAGATTGTGTCTCCAATGAGATGGAGAAGAACGCACCATTAGGGGAGAGAAAGCGCCACCTCCAGGAAGAGCTACCTTGAGGAGACGCGACGCACGCCCCCTCGAGCAAAAGCGCGACCTCCCAAGTGAGGAAAGCACGCTCTCGAGAGAGGGTGATGGGCCCTGCGCCCCGTCCCTTAGCCGCCTAGAGAATGAGTCACTGTCTCGCAGAGAGCCTCCTCAGTCCGTTGGGTTGGGGCCCCAAGAGGAAGATGGGGGAGGGGAGGCCGGGGCAGAGCCCATCCCCCTGGACTTCTAAACATGGGCCTGGAGAAGCAGGGGGCGGGGAGCAGGGGAGCAGGATCTTCGGACTCTGGACAAGGCCTGGACGAGGCGGTCTGTGACCTAGGAGGCCTGCGGGGCTGCCCCTCGGGCTAACACTGGGGTTCTGTGGGGGAGTGTGTGTGTGTGTGTGTGTGTACACAAAGCAGCACGGGACCCAGGAGGCCAATGGGGATTTCTGGGGGAGAGGGTGTGTGTGTGTGTGTGTGTGTGTGTGTGTGTGTGTGTGTACACAAAGCAGCACGGGACCCAGGAGACCTATGGGGATTTCTGGGGGAGAGTGTGTGTGTGTGTGTGTGTGTGTGTGTATGTGTGTGTGTGTACACAAAGCAGCATGGGACCCAGGAGGCCTATGGGGATTTCTGGGGGAGAGGGTGTGTGTGTGTGTGTGTGTGTGTGTGTGTACACACAAAGCAGCACGGGACCCAGGAGGCCAATGGGGATTTCTGGGGGAGAGGGTGTGTGTGTGTGTGTGTGTGTGTGTGTGTGTACACAAAGCAGCATGGGACCCAGGAGGCCTATGGGGATTTCTGGGGGAGAGGGTGTGTGTGTGTGTGTGTGTGTGTGTGTGTGTGTGTACATGAGGAGGCCCTGGACCCAGGAGGCCTATGGGGATTTCTGGGGGAGAGGGTGTGTGTGTGTGTATACACAAAGCAGCACGGGACCCAGGAGGCCTATGGGGATTTCTGGGGGAGAGGGTGTGTGTGTGTGTGTGTGTGTGTGTACACACAAAGCAGCACGGGACCCAGGAGGCCAATGGGGATTTCTGGGGGAGAGGGTGTGTGTGTGTGTGTGTGTGTGTGTGTGTGTGTGTACACAAAGCAGCACGGGACCCAGGGGGCCTATGGGGATTTCTGGGGGAGAGGGTATGTGTGTGTGAGGGTGTGTGTGTGTGTGTACACTGGGGTTCTGGGGGGGCGGGGGAGGGTGTGTGTGTGTGTGTGTGTGTATGTGTGTGTGTACATGAGGAGGCCCTGGACCCAGGAGGCCTATGGGGATTTCTGGGGGAGAGGGTGTGTGTGTGTGTGTGTGTGTGTGTGTGTGTGTGTGTGTGTGTGTGTGTGTTTACACGAGGCAGCCCAGGACCCAGGAGGCCTGCGGGGCTGCCCCTCGGGCTAACACTGGGGCTCTGTGGGGGCGGGTGTGTGTGTGTGTGTGTGTAGGGCCGGGTGCTGGGGGTTCTTTGGCCAGGTGGGTCTCCAGCATCGTCCTTTCTCCCCATATCTAGCAAAGGCTCACAGAGGAGCTGCAGACCGTAGAGAACGGGTACCATGACAACCCCACCCTGGAAGTGATGGAGACGTCCTCGGAGATGCAGGAGAAGAAGGTGGTCAGCCTGAATGGGGAGCTGGGGGACAGCTGGATCGTGCCCCTGGACAACCTCACCAAGGACGACCTGGACGAGGAGGAGGACACGCACCTCTAAGCATCGTGGACAGGGCCAGCGGGCTCCGCACCGAGCCACCTCAAGTGCCACTGGACAGGGGAGGGGACGCTTCCCCGAGTAGAGGGGCAGGCTGGGAGGGTCCCCACCCCCCATCCCCACCCCGGTCCCCTCCGCCCCCCCGCGAGGCCTTAACTTTTCCCCTTTCTAGCTGAACAAATCGCGTCTTGTCTCGGTTCCTCTTGTGAGAGCCTGTCTGGGCCAGGGCTCAGGCCCAGGCCCAGATGAGCTTGGGGGCTCTGGGCTGACGGGTCGCGGCCTTTGGCATCCTTGTAGCCTGGGGCCCACAGAGGGTGCCACCAGGGTCACACCGGGTGATGACAGTCAGGATGAACATTGAAACCTTTGCATTCCGTCCCGGGCGCATTCCCAGGGGTCCTTACGTCTGCCCTGTCTCAGCCATCCTGTCCCCTCCGTCCGTCTGTCCATCATGCCGTGGGCCCACCCTGGCCGGCGGGGGTCAGGGGGTGGGGGTTCACCTCCAACACCATGCTCTGCCTTCCACTTTCCTCACATTGTTCTGGGATGAAGGGGACCTGGTTGTGGGGGGGAGGGGGCGGGAGGGGTGCACCGGTCAGTGAAGGGCGGGGAGGGGCCACCCTGGGAATGGGTCCCTGTCCTTCACTCAAACCCAGGGGTGGCACCCCCAGGTCAGCAGCCATCACGCAAGGGCTTGCTTGGCGGCTCATGGCCCGGCCACTGGGGGTTGAAGAGGCAGCTCAGGGACACCCCCGGGCCCTGCACAGGAAGGGCCTCCGTTAGAGGATGGTCTTCCTCCCGGCCCCCCATGTCCGTAGAGACGGGGTCTGGACAGACAATCGACAGGGCAGTGGGAAGGGCCTGGCTGTCCCAGTTCCCAGGGGCTCTCAGGGACATGGCGGTTGGCTGAGGGTTTTGTCACTCATTTTGTGGCCTGGGAGAGGCGTTTGTTTGCAGCTGATTCCGGCTCTCCTGGGCTGTGGGGGGGGGGGGGGTGTGGGGGACCCTGGCGGTCTGCCATCTGCCCCCCGTGGCCTTCCATGGAGCTCGGCAGCTGTGTCCTCGCCTGGGTTTCAAGTGGAGCTGCCCAGCCATCCGGGTGGCATCTCAGGGAAACCAGATCCCCTCTGCGCCCCCGACCCCCTTCCCCCGCCCCATTCCTGAGGGTCTCGGCAGGGGGCCTGGGAGCCCCCAACCCAAGGTCCCGGGACCCAGGGCTCAGAGGGGCAGACATGTATGGAAAATGAAAATTTGGGCCTGGAGGCTGCACCCCGGCGGGCTCAGGCTCTGAGACTTTTGTTTCTCTGTGACGGTGGTCTGTGGCATCCGCGTCTACTGCCGGCTGCCTGGATGTCACGCGTCCCTGCCCACTTGTCCCTCTCGAGAGCAGCAAATGTTTCGACTTGCTGGGTCTGGTGGGTGGACGTGGGGGGGGGCGGATATCTGCTTCCCCAGGGGAGAGCTGTTTGCTTTCTCCTACCCAGCTCTGGGTCACTCTGCCCAGTGGGTCTGCCCAGGGGGCCACAGTCCCTCCGGCCAGGCGTGTCGAGGCCGCAAGTCTGTCCCTGCCAAGAAGCAAATCGAAAGTTGTGACCCTGGTGTCCTTGCGCGGGGAAAGAAGGGCAGTGGACAGGAAAGACAGTGCATGGCCGTGGGGCTGTCCACAGGGAGCCCTAAGACAGCGTGGACTCTTTCAGGGGCGGCCTCTTGGGGGGGGCCCCTCAAGCCTTCGCGGGCCATTTGGGACTCCTGCTCACGCTGGTCTTGCTAAAAAACCTTTTGCTGGCCCCACATTGGAGAAGGCGCCCTCGGCCGGTGTCCTTGCTGGGTTGCTCTGAGCCTTGGGCTGGAAAGGGGAGGACACCAGGTCTTGAAGCCAGTCCCACCTACCGTGCAGTTTTTCAGAGGCAAATGGGTTTCCCCAGGCTGCAGGCAAAGCCTGGATGGACCCAGACCCGGGCCTGGGAGGCCTCCGAGGACCGCACACCCGAGCACGTCCCGCCCCGTCAGACGGGATACGGGTTTGGTCCAGCCGAGACATGAGTCCTTTCTCGCCCCTCTCAATAAGGAAAGCAGGCAGAAAGTTTATTCCAACCGTTTCTAGAGCTTTATCCTTTTTTTTTTTTTGACAATATACTGGAGAAACTTGGAAACATTACGTTCAAGCTGAGCTATCTATCTATATATATGTATACATGGTTCTGGGGATAATGTAAATACAGTGGTCATGCCCTGGTCCGCCCTGCACTGCTTTAAATGAATCTACTTGGAACAAGCCTTGTTGTTAGCTAGGGGAGACGGTTTCCTCCACCCCCACCCTCTCTCTGATAGGAATGTAAATGTTTCTTTTACTAGAAATGACAAGTTTGGGGCTGTGTGATTTTTTTTTTTCCTTTTCTTTGATGAACCATGAAATATCAGGCAGACTGAGATCGAGTCTCTGTCCAGCGGATCTTAACCTGGATTTTTGACCCCTGCTGCCCTGGCTCCAGGGAGATTGTTTCAGCAACCACTACTTTTTACAGAAAAGGAACCAGAAGTCCAGAAAGATAAGGGGACTTAGCCCAAATCTGTCACCTATGGTGACAGAAACAGGACTAAAACATGGGGTGCAAACACAGTGCAGAGTGGGGTGCTGGCAGGGACACTGGCCCCAGGATGGCTGGGTACCATTGGACCCCAGGGAAGGGTCAGTGAGGGCCAGAGGACAGAATCCTCTTTCTCTGTCCTGGTGGCCTCCCGTGGACAGGAGCCTCTGGGCCTGCGGACGTCCCTCCTGGGAGGGGTCAGGGCCCCAGTCTCCGTGGGGAGCAAGAGTGACCTTCAGTCCCTGCTGCTGGCTGGTATGCCCAGGAGCTTGCAGGGGGACGCCCCGGCTGGACATGAGGACGCTGGCCAGTGTGACAGAGTGAATGTGGAGTCTGCCCAGCATGTGTCTTAGTGGACAGGGGTCTGAAGTACACTGGAATTTACTGAGAAACTTATTTGTAAAGACTAATTATTGCCATTTTCTTACGGAAATATATTTTGGAAACTTGTCTATTTGGCTGTGTTTTGTGTGTGTGTAAGCCGGTCCCTTTGTGCCTGTGCTCGGGTGGTGGGGGACAGGGCCATTTGTGAGCTTTCCAGAGTGTCTCTTGGGGCGCAGAGGCCCCTGTCCCCAACACTTCTGCCTGCTTTTCTCTGAGTCACCCACCACCGCACCCAGGGCGGGTTCCCAGGGGACAGCTACACACAGCCGGACAGAGAGCAGGACAGAGGAGCAGGGCGCCCGCGGCTGCCCACAGAAGCCTCTCGACTCCAGAGTATCAGCACACCCTTGGCCCAAGGCCATGACTGTGGGGGGGTTGATGGTCCCCGAAAGGAACCAGGCAAAGGTGGTCTCGGTGCTCTTCAGCACCTGGTGCTTCATATCCAGGCCAGAGCATCCCGGATTTATTTCGCCTACGGCCCCGACTTTCAAAAAAGAGAACGGACCCTGGCACTGCACCTCCCCCTGGGCGGGTCCAGTGCGGGGTGGGGGTATCCTAGGCCAGGTCAGGAACACTTTGCTCACAGCATCATCTCCCCTTAGCTGTGGAAGGGGTGGCTCCTTGCAGAAGAGAAACTCCCGGGGCCGGGTTCTACACACCGTCTCTTCTGTTTGCCAAGCTCAGGTATGTTGGCCGCTCCCGGTGGCTGGGGAATGAGGCTGCCCCAGGGGGCCACCTGGGTTCCACCCCCTCCCCCAGGGCCTTCCTTGCCCCCGAGCCGCTGGCCTTCTGACCACCACCACCACCACTACCACTGCGGCCACCTGCACTGTGCTTCCAATAGGGGCTGTCCCCATGGAGGGCAGCAGCCACAGCCCAAGGGTGGGCCCGCGCTGGGCGCAGGGGTGTTCTGAGGTGAACAGCAGCGGCGTGCCAAGGACACGGGCAGGGTGCGAGTGCCAAGGAGCACAGGCGGGTCCCGGCCTCACTGGAAGCGCACTGTTCTCGAGTGACTCATGCTTTATCTCCCGCCGCAAATTCGGCCCGAGACTCCCTTCTCTTCCTGAATAGGTCATTCACCCTGTGCCTGCCGGCCACCCAAAGGCCACCCAAAAGCCACGCGGCCCTGTCACTTGGGTGCTGTGCCTTTCTGTCACGGACAACCTCTCCCAGGTGCCCTTCCACGTCCCATGTTTCTTGTGGAAATAAAGAACAGGACTGGGGGCTGGAGCAATAGTACAGTGGGTAGGGCATTTGCCTTGCATGCGGTCGACCCAGGTTCGATTCCCAGCATCCCCTATGGTCCCCGAGCACTGCCAGGAGTAATTCCTGAGTGGAGAGCCAGCAGTAACCCCTGTGTATTGCCGGGTGTGACCCCCCCTCAAAAAACCAACCAACCAAACAAAAAAACCAACCAGGACTGGCTACTCTCATGAACACGGGTGACTGACACTAAGATAGCTTGGATTTTTCAGACCCTGACCTTGTCCGGACTGGAGAAAAAAAAAAAAGCCAACAGATCCCAGTGAGCACTATCAGCGAAGCTTTAAGAGCTGGAGAGAAGGAGGTGGGAAACTGAGGCTGCCAGGGAAGGTCTGGAGATAAAACCTGGAATCCCTCAGCCCTGTTCCCTTTGTGCGTAGGAGGCCAAGGGAGGGGAAGACATCATCTGGGGTGCTCTAGGAGAGAGAAGCCAAACCCTCACCCCCAGGCCCCACACAGACCCAGGACAGCTGTCTGTTGGCCTGCTGGGTCAGGGTGGGGCTCGGGAGGAGGGGAGGGGTGTGTGTGTGTGTGTGTTGGGGGTGGGGATCTGCTTTTCTTTTCCCCTGAAGTCCGGGTGTCTGTGCGCCCATGAGCCCCAGGAGGAAGGGGACACTTCGTGGGTCCTGTCCCTGCTGGGGGTGGAGTGTCATCCTGGAGACATGTCCACGCCCACTGAGGTGCAAGCTGCCCTCTCCACCACCTTTTGACAGCAGACGCATATTTCAAGGGAGAGGGGACGGCCTCTCACAGTTCTATTCTTCAGGGTTTATTTTTGGAGGATGAACCAAAGGACAGCCCTTCCTCTCCTTATCACTGGACATCAAGTTCTCCGGTTTTGAAAAATGTTACTTAGGGGCTCAAAGCATATATTACAAATGAAACCAGAGTGGAAGCTGGATGACATGATTCGCGAATGGAGAAAACGTTTTTAATGTTGAACCCAAGGCATGTTGAGCATGAAAGGCTTGGGAGCATTATCACTGGCCCATTCCTTTATTTATATTTTCTTTTCATTTTGGTCACACCCAGAGATGCTCAGAGGTGACGCCTGGCTCTGCACTCAGGAACCACTCCTGGCAATGCTCGGGGGACCATATGGGACGCTGGGGATCGAACTCAGGTCGGCCGTGTGCAAGGCAAATGCTCTACCCGCCGTACTATCACTCCCCCTCTCCCGCCTATTCCGAATAAGATCAGTTGACAACTCACTCACTGAGAACTAAGCACCGCAAAGTCAAAGTAGCATAAACATTGGACTGGAGAAATAGCACAGGGATTAAGATATTGCATTGTATGCAACTAAGCCAGGTTCAATTCCTGGCAATGCATATGGTCTCCTGAATCCCACCAGAAGCAATGCCTGAGCACAGGGCCTGGGGTGAGCCCTGAGCGCCGCCAGGTGTGGGCCCACTACCCCCAGAGAAAAGCATAGACCAGACCGGGAGATGGGAGGTATCGGGAGAGCTTGTTATTGAGCGTCTCAGTGAGAAACTCACATAAATCAATCCCCAGCATCCACCGTTTTAATTTGGCATTTTCCATGTTTATTGTTTGCAAGGTTCAGCCCTGTTCCTTTCAGTGGGAGAGGAAAGAACCCAGGATTCTCCCAAACTTTGTAACACTTCCAACTTCTCTCTTTTGACTCTTTTCCACACTGCTTTCTACTTCAATGTTCTTTTTCCCCCCTTCTAGGTCCTAACCTGTACGCCTGTCCTCTGGAAAACACAGATCCAAAGTTACAGAGCATATACAATTTTAAGCTTTTAAGGCCATCAACATATTTCATATTTTATGACAATAACAATACCTTATGAAACAATTTGCCAGTTTTTTTTTTTTTGGTATCTCACGTCTTTATTCCTCTTAGCAAAATAATCTGGTTACATCCATTTGATATAAAGGGCATGAGTCCGTCTTTTTTTTTTGTATGAGTAATATTCTACTGAGTATATATATTTCTTTTCATTTTGGTCACACCCAGAGATGCTCAGAGGTGACTCCTGGCTCTGCACTCAGGAACCACTCCTGACAATGCTCGGGGGACCATATGGGACACTGGGGATCGAACTCAGGTCGGCCGTGTGCAATATATGTCCACCACTGGTTTTAACCCTTTTTACACCTTTGGACTGATGAAAACAAATATTTTCTGTTTAGAGGTAGGCACAGAGGGAAGTCATTGTTTCTAATAGTTTTTTTTTTTTTAAGTAATGGTTTAAAAATATACCTTTGGGGGGCTGGAGCAATAGCACAGTGGGTTGGGCATTTGCTTCCACACGGCTGACCCGGGTTCGATTCCCAGCATCCCATATGGTCCCTTGAGCACCACCAGGGGTAATTTCTGAGTGCAGATCCAGGAGCAATTCCTGTGCACCACCGGGTGGGGCCCCAAAAGCAAAACAAACAAACAAACAAACAAACAAAAACACACCTTTGGCAAAACATTTATTTCCGAGATAGAAAGCTACAGAAAGAATGACCATTACCTGTATTAGCTGTGAAATATATACCTGCATGTGGACATTTACCGAAAAGGCTTCTCCCAAGAAAGATCCATTTGGCGAAAAACGTAACTAACTGAACTCTGTATGCTTTTGTTTCACTGTACCTTTGCTGTTTCTGGAGCCTCCTTTCTGTTGGTTCCTAAGCCTATCTAAGATGGTACCTGAAGCCATGTGGGCTGGCTCTCCACTGGTTCCTTCCCACTCTCTTGTCTGACGGGAGATACATATGCTGTGAATTTCATTTTTCCTTTTTTTCTCTTCTCAATCTGTCTCATGCTGTACCTGTTCACCTCTGAGAAGGCTGTCCTGAGTGCCCCTTTTTGCCTCCTGATATTATAAAATTTTGAATTCATAAATGTCTTTTGAAAAGCACACCGAAAGATCTGTCAACAAATTATCAAAACCTAAAACACAATGCATACATAGCTGCTGGAAAGAAGAGCAATATAAAAGCAATCAACAGGAAACCTAGCAACTGAGTTTCAAGTTATTCAGAGACCTAACTGGCCATTAAATGATTCAGTTATATGCAAAAGGAAAATCTGATTATGCAGACACTGCCCTTACTGCAGTGGTTAGTCCTAACCTGTAACAATTTGCTACCATTAGGACAGGGAGCACTCCAGTAATTTTAATTAGTTAGAAACTCATGTATTTTCATATCAATTACTTCCCGCTCATATAACTTAATTAAAAAATTTTAAAATTGAATCACCATGACATACAGTTACAAAGCTTTTGTGATCAGATTTCAGTCACAGAATGTTCCAACACCCATCCCTCCACCAATGTACATTTCCCACCACCAATATTCCCTGTATCCCTCCTGCCTCGCCCTCCGGCCCCATCCCCCCAACAGCCTGCTTCTGTGGCAGGCACTTTTCTCTACTTTTGTTGCCAGTATTCTTAAAAAGTAAAAGTTGCCTCAGAAACTCTGCGATCCACCCAAACGCTTCATTTCAAGGCTCTCTCAGGAAGACACTCAAAGTCCCTTCAGTGTCATTTCCTGTCGCTGGAAGCCTTGATAAAACTTACCTTTTTTTTTTGGGGGGGGGGGGGGACACACACATACCAAGCAACTGCACTGAATAAGTAAACATTTTAAAAGATTTTAAAAGTTGATTTCAAGAGCCACGGCTGTTGGCTTAGCAGTAGAGCCTATACATGTGAGGCCCTGGGTTCGATCCCTAGCACCACTGCAGGTAGGTGAAGTGGGGGTGGGGGTGTGGTAATTCAAGAGCCATTTTAATAACACAAGACACACCTTGTAGTGCCCATATGCTTTTTTTTTATTAAG